CCGGGTAGCTAAGCTTTAATAAGATTTACTAGAATCTCGTAGTATAGTCTATAGCTGACTTAGTCTAACGTAGCTAGCTTAGTCGTTTGGCCGCGACTCGTTCCTTATCGGGCTGGCCGAAGATAGCGTTAAGTCTTTCGACGAACACGTCGAAGTTCTTAAAGATTGCCGTGGTCCCGGGCTTCCTTAGGACCTCTATTCCTATATTTTCCAGGTAGTCCCTGTGGATAGATTCGAACTATTCGTGCGCGTCTCCCGTAAGGAGTGCCGCGGCATAGAGTACCTTAGTTTCTTCCGTACGGATGCTGTCCTGGTAAAATAGGAGGTAGCCTCGGAGCTAGGTAATAAAGCTCTGAAGCTGTCCTCGAGTCCTGTCGTACTTAGGGGGTGTAGGGTATCTGTACTTAGCCCCGACTCCAGGATGGTTCAGCTAAGCTCTCAGGGTCGTATTCTCCCCCTGAAGCTGAGTGATCATGTCGCGAATCTGCTGAAGGTCGTTACCTCCTCCAGTGGCAGTGGTAGGCGTCGCGGTGCTCATAGCGTTCGTGGTACGGTTGTTGTTGTTCGACATGTTGGAAGAGTGATTGTTGGCTACTTCGTCGTCTTGTTGAGTTTGTTCTGGTCCTTCCTCTTCGTCGGAGGAACTGGATTCTTCAGACGATGATTCTTCTTTAGATGAAGTGACTTCTTCTTCCTTAGGCGAAGTAGCTTCTGCTTCGGGCGTACTGCTCATTAGCTATCAAGGTTAGCTTACCGAACAGGATCGATCAAAATATTACGATAGCTTCCGGTCCTCTATAGTATAGCGGACGATAGGGGACTGGCGTCGAGGTTTTAGTTTAAAATAAGAAGAGGATGTTAACTAAAGAGCAGTAACTGTCGTTCGTAGTGTTTGGTCGTAGTTACGTCGTAAAGACTAGGCGTCTTCTTTATAAGGTAGAGTCAGACGTAGACTAATGGTCTAGGTGAAGACTTAGATTAATCGATGTCTTGTTCTCTAATAGAAGTAAGACCTAGGATACTCTGGTATATATATATATTTCCGGTGTCTGGATCGATATCCTTCCACTATGATCCTCCCAGGATTATAGGCTGTCCTGGATAATCCCTTCGGATCATAGGGATTATCTGTCGAGTCCTTCGATCTGATGGTCACGTGTCCGCACACGTGACCCGCGTTCCTCCTGACTCAGCTTGCCCTTCGTGCTATAGTGATATCCATACTTAAGACCCAGGGTCCCGTAGTGGCCTCGGCCCGGGCCTTGTCTTGTTAGCCGTAATAATTAGGTTCCTCTCCCCTGTTTTTATAAAGGACTAACTCGTCGAACACGACGTCTCTTATATACAGGATTCTCTCTAATTTTAGTACCTAAATCCGAAAAATATTAGTGCCTTCGTAACCGATTAAATAACCGATATATGCCCTCGGTACGAGCTTTTCGTTCTTATGCCTTCCTCGTAGATAGTTAGCAGTTAATGCGTACGCCTTATAACTATACCTCTTTAGGTGCGTAATTAAGGGATTAGTGGTTATAAAGTTAACGATACCCTCCTTTTGCAGCCACACGTTTAACGCTCTCTTAGGGGTTTACTAACCTAGATCCCTACGTGGAATCCGGTTATACAGGTATATGGCTGCTATAATAATCTCTGGCTATAAATCCTATTAAAAGCCTAAGGCATCTACTAATACCCTCGCGATAGCGAAGATAATACCCCTATACTATTCGGCGTTAGCGTTCTATACGGCTATATAAGGAGCCGATCTTTCTAGTAGGATACCACGATCTAAAGACTAGTTATCCAGCTTCTTCTATAATGCCCTCTCTCCGTCGAGCCTGATTATACTAATAAGTAGCTTATACTGCCTCTATAAGAAGAGTTCGAAGTTAGCTATTAAGGATAGTATGTGTTTATGCCTAGGTATCGTTCTGGTCACGTTTTTATACGTGCAGGGATCGTGGAATAGGGTAATAGTATTATTACCGTTAGCGGTAGGATCCATCGAAAACAGATCCACGTTAATCCTCTAAAAAGGCCTTATTAGCCTATAGGTAGGTGGACGTCGCGATACTATCCTTTTTGCCTTACTAATAGCGTAAGCCTCGTAGTGCACTACTAAAGGTGCCGCTCTTCCTTCTAAAGCCACGGTGCCTCTAACGCACCCTTTTAATAGCTATGCTAGTGCTTAAGGGTTAGCGTGCCCTAGGCTCTTATACTATAAACGGGCGTTAGCCACGCTTATAGGCTTTAGTTCCCTCGAGCTATTAAAATAGCTCTGCTATTACTGCTATAAGCGTTATAGTGTGCTATTAGTCGATTTAAGGGTATATTAGCCGTTAACGTTAATTAACGGGAGGCAGGTATATCGGTCTATTACTAAGATATCTCTACCGGTTATAAAAATAGCGTTCTGATCCTTCTATAACCTACGCGTCGCTAGTAGCATTATAGGATATCTATCTATAAACGCCACGCTCTTTAGTATAAGGGTATAAGGACGTCCTTTTATATCTTTAACCTGAAGACGTAGGGTGCTGTACTCCTTTACTGGATTAGAGGTGCCGCTATCTGTCTAAAATCTGATAATAGTGGTAGTAGGCTGGAAGTCCTCGAGTAGGTGGCGTTGATTGGTTATATACCTTAGGGACCCCGAATCGATTAATAACTAATTAAATAGGTCGTTACTAACTACCTATTTAGTCTGTAGGAGCGAGAAAACTAATGGCGAGGTCGACGATACCACTTTTTTTCCTACGAAATTAGAGGTAAAATATATATCGTAAGAGCTATCGTCAGAATCCTCTTCCCTATTATTAACGAAATTGGATATTTCCTTAGACTGATCTTTCTCTGGTGACTTAGCTTTAGACTCTTTTGCCTTGTTTTTGGCCTTATCGATATCCTTTTTGATGTACTCTCTGAACTTCTTTTACTTGGAAGCACTCTAGCTCTTAATAACGCGGTCGTAGCGTTCTACTACCTCCTTCGAGGGCGTAAAGCCCTTTTAGCGGCGCGTCGGATTAACGTTCGGGCAGCTACTCCACGGATAGTAGTGGCGTTTAGCTCTTCCTATCTTAACGTAATCGTAGATGTATTCCCGAGGTGCTAAAGAACCCTCCTTTCCTTATTACTGCTGACCTCTCTGATTAATAGGCTGCTGTCTGCTATCTTTATCCTTTCCTAGGAACGTCGCTGTATAGAACGATAATGCTATGGGCTTCTTGTTAAGCCTATGGGGATGCCTGTGGCATAACTAAACCGTATATTCGTTTATAACCTCTTCGATAGTAGGTTTATCTTCCTTATCTTCCCTTAAAATCTCTGCAAAACGCGCCTCTGACTACTCTAGAGCTATAGTACCGATAGCCCTGAAAAACGCGTCGAGTTGATCCTCTGCGGTATTAGAAGATCCAACGCTATAGGTCCTCGAATCTCGGTATAGCGATATAAAGTCCTGAAGCTAACGCTTATGGGGTATCCTCCGTATATTTTGTATGTGTTCTTCCTATCTCTTCTTGACTAGGGGCTTCTGGGCAGTGTTGGTAGGTTTGAGATGGTCCTTTAAGGCGATTAGGATATCTTTAACCTCCTTCTTCCCCGCGTACTAATCTTTGAGGTTAGGATTAACTGTCTTCGCGATATAGTCGTGAAGAGTAGCTAGACCACGTTGCTGTTGCTGATATTTGTTCTCTTTTACGTTCTATAGCTTGAACTTGCGATTCCAGGCGTCGTCGTCGTCACCTTCTTCTGGAGGTTCCGAGGATTCGAGCTATTAAGGACGTTTGGATTCCTTAAGGTCTGGATTAACGAGGTCAGAGACCTGGTTAGTATAGGCTATCTGTATAATAGCCTTGATCTAATAACGCTATTCTTTTGGTGAGGTGAGGATTGTATAGCCTATTATGGGTAACGCCGTAGTTAAGGCTATCGTCTGACTAACTAGGACTGCAGGGAAATAATCTATCGAAACCGACTATAACGGACTAATCGAATAAGGAGCGTTTGAACGAGATAGGATTAAGCGATTTTATTAACGGAATAACGGAATAACGGTTATAAATAAAGCAGGCGGACGTAGCTAATAATACTAAGCTAACCGCTATAGACTTAAGGCTATTTTGACTGCCTTAAAGCTGCAGGATCTATCGGAATAGCTTAGTTTGTTAGAACGCCGGGCTTATAACTGTTAGCATATAAATAAGGTACGTAGAAGATGTGTGTGTGTAGTGAAGAAGAGTAAAAGATACTCTGCGGAAATGTCAAACTATGAAGTAAAAGGAGGGGAAATTGATGTGGATACATCGGTCGGAAGTACCTCATCCGTCTACAGAAATGGCGTAAGTCACACCCCGATAAGGTGGCTGTAGGCATCTGACAAAAGCCAAGCAAAGCTTTCAGGGCGAGACCTTGTTCTTCCTTTTTTATTTTCTCTTACCGGTGAAAAGTTACTGTCGTCATGCCTTGTATGCCTTGTATGCCTTGCGCATCAGAATCCGTTGCACCGGTATATCTTGGCATTCTCAACAGCGTCCTCTCGAATGAGCGTCCTCGGGACCTCGAAGAGATACCCGAGTCCATGTCCGTTGAAGGCTCTGCATGATGATATTTGACTCACTGACTCCACGTATTTGTCCCCTGAATTTTTTTGGGGGGAATATTAGCCTGAAGCCATCCCTCCAAGGAGCTGCTACTACGCCACCGACACAAAGAGACATGGGACGCAACTTGTATGTCGGCATCGTCGAATTCTCTACCTATTCTCAGTATGCATCGCATATATAACATCATGTCAATGATACGTTCAAACACCCATCAACGGGCACAGATCTTCTGGTCATTGCAACCTGCCTTAACCACCCGGTATGTACAAAAAGTCCCAAGCATAGGGCAACGAACACAGAAGTAAACTGGTCGCTTGAGATGGTTAGATGCCCTCCGGTCTCCGTCTCCGGTCTCCATCCCCCACCTCATAATAACAGCCAACGAGTCATTCCTCTTTAAGCCGAAACAAAGAAATCCCAAGTGGCATCAGGGGCAAGAGAGCTCTCCGGGCCGAAAGGAGCACCGTTGTGGCCACCATCATAGGCAATGAACGACACGGGGCGAGAGCAGCCCTGGAAATCGGTGCGAATAGACTGTCCGCTGCCGGGGGGAGGCTGAGGGATGTCAGCCCACTGGCAGCCGTTGTTCTGGATGAAAGTCTGCGCCAGGCCGATGCCGATGTCGATGGGGAAGACGTCGTCCGAGACGCCGTGGATGCCGAGAAAGGCCATGGGGTCGTTACCACCGTCGCAGCCGCTGACGGGGCCGGCACCGATGGCGGCGATGGCGCGGAACGACGAGGCGCGGGAGCAGGCCAGGGAGTACGACATGGCGCCGCCGAAGCTGAAACCGGTGGCGAAGCGGGCGTCCTGGTCGATGCAGAGGTCGTTCTCGACGGCCTCGATGATGGCTTCGACAAAGTCGATGTCCTGGCCTCCCTCGTTCGCCCAGCCGGCGTTCCGGCCCTGCGGCGCCACGAAGATGGCGGAGCCTTGCGAGCGCGGCTCGAGGCCGTACCACGGCTGGATGCTGTTGCCGTAGACGACGTCGTCCATGCTGCCGCCCAGCCAGTGGAAGCCGAAGATGAGGCGGTGCGGGTTGTTGTTGTCGTAGTTCTGGGGGATGTGGAGGGTGTAGTCACGCCCGTTGATGTTGTGGACGCCGCTGTTCAGGGTCGGGTTGGAGCCGCACCCTGGCGACTGGGCGAGCACCGCAGGGAGAAGGGCGGCGCCCAGGACCAGGGCGGCAGATGGGAACGAGATGATGGCCATGATGGACAGTGACAGTTGGGAACTTCTTGTCAGGTTCAGTTCCACGGCACTTCAGGGGCGACACAGAGAGCAGAGAACAGCCAAGCGGGAAGAAGAAGGGCTTGTTGACGAGAGAGTGTCAGAGTGAGTTCGGATATTTCGTCGAGCACGGGAAAGGGACTGGCTATTTATCTCAAAATGACAATGACCATGATTTCTCCTCGATACTGGGCGGAGAGGCTTGAGGGGTCCGCCTCGAAGACTTTCTCAGCTTGCAAGTCGCAATTTCGAACTGCCGATGAAATGAAGCATGGTGCCTGTTTCACACACAATAAGGCGGCGGCGATCCCAACTAACTCTGGCGACACAATAACGATCACTCCGATTAATGCGGGGGTGCAGCATGCCGAAAACCACGATGCGGAGAGTTGGTGTCCTGTTCCTTCCGGCTGGGTTATAGTATAGATCGACAGGCAGAGTTGGACGATAGAGTCCCATGATCCTGATTCCATCTTAATTTTTCCGGGGAACTTGAAAGGCTAAATTGCGGGAATGCCGGCACTGGACGAGGCTCTGCACATCAGCCCCGAATGTGGAAAACATAAAGTGCCAAGACACACCCATTGGCCTCCGTCCCCCGGGTTTCCGTACCAAAGACCGGTTCCCACACGGAGTGAGATGTACGGACACGGCATTTGGATTCGGGATCACTTTGTCGTGTTTTGGCAAGAAATAGCTGACATTCCTTCCGCATTGTCCTTGCAAGATGTGGCATGGAATGATGTGTATGGCGTGGCTAAGAACTTCTTCAAGAGCCAGTGGAATTCCCCAGCAGTGAGGCTAGGGTCAATGTTGAGAGGAGAAGCTGTGCAATACAACCATACACGAGGATGCTGAGTTCCATGGAGGCAGATCCAGTATTACTCGGCTCAGTACACGTGTAGAGCCGAACGAAGATCGTCGTGAAATTGTCTGCCGACTGCTCCTTACGGAAGAGGTCGATGGCTGGTATTGGATGAGCGTAACATAGGTGTCCGTATTCGTAGAGCATGATGCTCTCCGCACGAATGCTTCCGCCCACTTACGTGGCAGTTCAACGGCATCCCAATGCCGACAAGACCTGGGCATTTCGCCTGATATTTGACCGCATGGTGCGCAACAGGCCTGCGGAGAGGGTAAATAATGCCCTTGCTTGCTCACCTGTTTTTGGGACATGGAGGGAAAGAGTTCTCGCCTTTGTCGACTTTGAGGTTAAGAAGCCGCTTTTTGCTGTTGAGTGCTGGGAGACATAGACTGTTCACTGTTGATCCCCAAGGAGTGAAGGCTGAAGCCACTGACGCGTGGGCCGCGTGGGGTGTTGTTAGGTGAGCGATGTCGCTAATTACCAACGCTTCTGGCATGGCGGGTCGACTAGAATGACTGCAAGAAGAACGTATCATCGTTGAACTGCGTTGGGTATCTTTATGGTGTTTATGGACATCTCGTGGTGATGCCGACGGGATGGGACTCGGGAGTCGACGTTTGGCGAGGTTTTGGTTATTCGAAGTTGAGTGACGTACAATGTCAATGCCGTACTGCTTAGCTAAGTTAGCTCTGTACATTGTACCTGACTCCGGGGTTCGGGATATAGATGTTCCGCTACAACTGAGCCGCTCCGATCCCAGTCCAACTCGCCGCCATCGCGTCTGTCCCGACGAAATGTCTCCATATCATGTCCTCATCCACCCTTACCCCTGTCGTTCGCGTTAGGTATTTCGAAGCTTATAAGCTCCCAAGTTCTTGCCGCTTCTGCTCATCGTTCTTACCTAATCTCTCCCACGGGTTTGCAGCTTCACACACGTCTACGAGTGGTTATTGCTTCGCCTCCTTGGCCCAATGCCCATGGGTCATACTGCCCTGTCTTCTATCTCTACAAATGCCTAACCAACCCCATCTACTACCTCGTTAACCTGAATCTCGCATTTTCGGCGAATCCCTCCAATCCGATAGCCAGGAATTACCGGTTCAGAATTCTGCCCGACTCGAGAATATTCCGAATTCAAGCTGAAGCAACCACCAAAACGACGTCATCGACATCGCATCGAAGCCATTGAAGCCATCAGGTCCAGATCACTCAACAACGACACCGAAAACCTCGTGCTTTTTGCCCTCGTGGCACGGGTCCCCCCTTCGACTGCCTGCCGCGTACTCGATTAACTCTACGCTCGCCAATGGAAAATCCAGGTCTTCCTGAAGAGACGGCTCGCAATGCAACCCCGGTCGCGGAGCAGGAAAAAAGACCTACACGATCTCTGAAGGAGAGTGTCCACCACTTCTTGACACGGAACATCTGGTCTGAGAAGGATGGGCGGAATCGCGACCACATCCCGCCCATGCCTGTCTGGGCTGGAGGCCTGCGTGTCGCCCAACTTGTACGAGCCATGCACCAGTCCCGTCTTTGATTTCGCACCTTTTGGCAATGCCTTGTTCGCCGTTGTTCCCCCTACCCCCCCTTTCCCTACAATCCGTCGACGTTCTCAAATTGCTGACCCTTACTGGCTTGACACAGGTCCTTGCGACCGCTACTCTGGCCCTGACTGCGTACGGTATTGCGACAATCCAACAAGCCTCGGGATATCGAAGAATCACGGTATGACCACCGCTCTTTCGGACACAGGGATATGCGAGTACGAACATCGAACGGTTGCTGACAGCTAGAAAGAACTGGAGCGGGACTGAGGGATACCGTATGTCTCAAACAATTCCCCCTCTTTCTCGGACTTCACCCGACTGCGCTGTTCTAGGGACATGTATTGACTTGGCGCAGCATATTCCTGGTTTCTCTTTTCTTGGACCTGCGTCTACCTGGCGTGGTTAGGTCTTGCTGTTACCCTGCTCCCTATCATGTACAACTGCTGGGTTCATTTGTGAGTCCATGCCTTTGACGACGCCCCGCCCGTTGTCCCGAACGAAATTCCTTCTGACTGGTAATTTGTCATGGCAGGGGTATCGAGATCCTGACTCTCCTCCTTTGGCTCATTGCCATGGCCCTCCTCGCGAGTCACAGTGACGAACTCGATTCGATCGACGCCTTTGTGGGCGGACTCGGACCCGCATTCGAGGCATACTACAAGGATTTCATTGAGGTTTACGCTCGGGGCTTCGTCGTAGCCACTTATGCCGCCACGGCTGTTGCTGTGTTCAACCTAGTGCTCTTTGTTATCACCCTCGTCTTTTTCGGTATGTGCCTGTAACGAAACGGCGACAGGATGGGCTTGGCTTGGCCGAAACTGTATACCGGAGTCTCCGCATGCTAACTCTGCAGCGCTAGGCCGGGCTCTCCATGCCCATCGCATGTCAGGAATGGCGACGACGAGACCAAGGCGCCTGCAGGGACTCTCCGACCCCGATCAGATTGTCGCCTCTCCCTGCACATTTGGAGCCGAAGTTCCGCATCCGTCACGGATGGCTTATTTCCCGCCAAATCAGTCAGACCAACCGTATAGCGGACAGCCTCCTCCTGGACCGTCGTACGACACGAATGTTGGCTCGCAACCAGCGTCATGGATGTCCTCTCATCCTATGCCATACCCGCATCACCAGCCTCAGAATCGTTTGCCATCGACCCCTTCGCAACCAGGAGCAGCCCATGCCGACTCTGGAAGCTATGTCCCATCAGGTCCGTCCTCTTTTGGGGCGCCGGGCTCTGTCTGGCCTCAACACAGCTACGCCATGTACGAGCAACAGGTGCATATTGCACCCCAGCATACAGGCCCATCTCAACGTGGCCCAGGGTCTCCTCCCCCATATCCCATGGTGGTACCTGTCGGCGGTACAAAGTCGGATCTTCGCGGCGTGCGTGAGACGCCCCCACCACCCCCAAACCGGACGGCGAGCTCGGTTGCAAGAACCTATTCTGGCCAACCAGCAGAGCTTCATAACGAGGACGTGGGGGGTAGGAACATGCCTGCCGAGCTCCCTCACGATCCACTGCCACGCCGTCCGGCAGCACCAGACCCGTAGTAGCATAACGGGTGCCGGTGGGCGGTTCACGGGCCAAGAGTGAGGGGGGAGTGAAAAGGCTTTCGGAAATGGCGTTGGTGGCAATTATAAGGGCGATTCTAACGGTCCTAAGCGGCGTTTACGGAACACGGGAAACACGGCATGCGTTATGGAGACGGTACTTTTCGGCAACGGGGACCGTTCAGAGGACACGGCATAAGGAACGGACATGGCGTACACGAGGGGGGAAAACGAACAAGACTGTCTTGGGTCTATTCTGGCTTATCCTGTCTTCTATGCATGGTCGGGGGGCGTTAAACTGGGAGTGGGCAAGTTCTTCTCTGTCAATAGCGACGCAAGGTCCGCCAATTTTGCTATTGCCAAGGAGGATCTAATTAAGGTGCCTTACTGGTAAGCTACCTACCTTAGGTAGGCGGCTGTTGTGATATATGGCTGGCGATGTACGTCCATCTATTGACGCCAAACCAGCAACCATTATGTTCTTGGACCTTAGATTGGACTTCTCCGCCACAAGTATCTCGTCCCAACGAAGCCAATAACAGTGGAATTACAGATTGTTCTCTTGCTTCACAGAGGAAGAAAACCAAACACCCGAGGAGCACATCACAGTCCCAATTCGGATATGGGGGATTGGCGAGGCCAGGTATTGGGTATAGTGACGCTTAAGATCACGGCGCCGGTAGTTTTATATATTACCCTCATGGTGAATGATTTGCCCAGCAAGTAGGTAGCGGTCTGCAAGGACAAAGACATATCACAACACGTAGCGGAAATAAGGATTCTCCTTATCAGTCAAGTCCATGAACGCAAGCTTAGCGCGCTCCTCCTCGTCAACGGGCGTCTGGTCGCGCCTCTTGTTCTCGCGCCAGAGGACCCAGTACAGGGCGGCGGCGGCGGCAATGCAAATAACGTAGCAAATAATCAGGCTGGTCCAGAGCTCCGGGTAGTGGCGGTCGCGGGACTCGCTGTTGACGAGCAAGGGGCCGACGATGTTGCCGACGCAGTAGGCGACGAAGATGGTGGCGGCCATGAAGCTCTTCTTGGTGTGGCCGGCGACGTTGGACATGCCGATGGAGATGACGAGGGAGACGACGGCGCCGAAGAAGCCGGTGATGCTGTAGCCGACCACGGGGGCGGGGGCGCGCGGGTACCACTCGGACTTCCAGATGAGGGCGCAGCCGGCGATGACGGGGAGGCAGCAGAGGGCCAGCATGATGAGGCGGGCGTTGTGGAGGGTCGTGCCCAGGTAGCCGGTGACGAGGATGGCGATGAGGCAGAGGCCGCCGAGGGGGAACTGGAAGAGGATGGCGTGGAGGGGGGACCAGCCGAAGGTGGAGACGATGAGGGGGCCGAAGCCGGATACGGCGCCGTTCATTGTGTAGCTTTTGGTACGTCTTGTTAGCTATGGAAGAGAGCTATGGGAGGGAGAGGGAGAGGGGGAGAGGGAGAGGGGGAGAGGGAGAGGGAGAGGTTGAACATACGCCGAGGCCATCATAAGAGCCACGAGCCAGACTTTGACATCAAGAATGGCTTCCTTGAGCTGCGACGACTTGAACGTGGTACAGCGCACACCGGTCTGACCCAAGCGAAGGCGCTCGACGGCAGCGAAGCGTTCGTCCGGGGTGAGGAACCAGGCGCTGACAGGGGAATCGGGCATGACGAAACAGAAAGCGCCGAACAAGAAAGTAAGACAGCCGGCGAGGAGGTAGATGTACTGCCACGGCTTGAGGGCGCCGGCGGCGATCTGGGCGAAGGCGTAGTTGAGGGCGCCGCCGATAATAGTAAAAAGGCCGGTGGCGGAGAACCACCAGCTCTGGCGCATGCTCTGCTCGCGCTGGGTGTAGTAGCCGGAGACGATGCACATGAAGCCGGTGGGGACGACGGACTCGACGAAACCGAGGAAGAAGCGCTGGGCGTAGAGGCCGCGGTAGTCGGTGACGGCGGCGGTGGAGGCGCAGACGGCGGCCCAGACGACGACGATGGCGCCCAGGGTCAGGCCGATGCGGTAGCGCTGCAGAGCGTAGGTCATGGGGTAGAGGCCGGCCAGCATGCCGAAGTAGAAGATGGAGGTGGCCCAGGAGAGGCGGGTGGTGTCGATGGTGGGCGGGGTGGTGGTGGGGTCGGTGACGACGGCGAGGCCCAGGTCGCCCGTCATGCCGAAGAGGACGGCGGAGCCGAGGATGGCCTTGTCGTAGTAGACCAGGCCGTCTGAGCAGAGGGTTAGCTATTGATATATCCAAATGCATATTCGACTTGCAGCATAAGAGAAGAGAGCGTGCAGAGAAGGGGGAAGACGCACAGCCGAAGATCATGGCGGGCATGAAGAACCAGTCGATTTTGCGGACGGCGCGTGAGGCGACGGCTTCGTCGTAGGCGTGCTGCTGCTCGCCGACCATGGCAAGAGCCTCGTCACCTCCGGCACGGACGGGTGACCGGCCATTTTCGTCGGCCTCATCACGGTGAACAGGATTACTGGTGGTTGGAGGGACGGGGGCGGGAAGGTTAGTCGTCGGCGCAGCATCCGGGGCGGCCGTGATAGCCGGCTCGGTGGAGGACTTTTCGGCCCGCATGGTGGCGGGGCGCGAATATGTGACGGGCACCTCAGAATTCTATGAATGATAATTCGAGCTTTTGTTTGTTAGAATAATTTGGAGAGAATAAATAGAAGCAAACGCGGGAAGAAGAGTTGAAGAAAAAAAAAGAGAAAAGAAGAAAAAAAGAAAAAATCCAATAGAGGCGAGATTTTTTTCTTCGTCCTTTTACGCTCAGATATCAAACCCCTCCCAATGCCGAGACCCAAGCTTTTTCGCAACCATAGTTCCACGTTTGATTTCCAGCTTGGCACAGATTTTAAGGAACATGCCGAGCAGACTTGGGCAACAGTTAAATGCTGTCATGTTATTATTACCTACGCTCTTCGCCAATATGCACAGCACAGCAATAGACCTAGCTGGCTGGAACCTCGACTTTAGAGTGGCGGAAGTCCGAGGATGGCCAGTCAAATCGAAGAAGCGGACGGGAGACGAAAGAGAAATTTGACGATGCCGGGGTTATGGATCCCGAGTTGGGATAGTGGGGGTTGGAGGTGTAGTGGGGGTTGGACTTGGCATATCGACATTTCTTGGTGTTAGACACCTGGCGTGGGATGACACACTTGCAGGTTTCTTAAGCTGCTTGGGTGAGCTCTGTCTGGGCTCGAAGACGAGACTTCTGCTCCCCAGAAAGCGGAGGCTCGACGTAGGTAGAGAAGCTAGCCTAAGGTAGACGAGATTCGAGATTCGAGATTCGAGATTCGAGATTCGAAATTCGAGATTCATGCTAGAAATGAAGAAGTGAGAGGGTCAAGGACATGGTCCATTTATCCGAGTTGTGATTTGTCTGTTAGGGTGGGAACAGTGGTCCAGATCTGGATTCAGAAACATGAGATGGAAGGGAATAAGAATTGAAAACAACGCAGTGAAAACTTACCTTTGAAGCTGAGGGCACAGGTACATTTCCTCTCATTACAGTATGGTAAATTAGGTAAGGTACCTACCTAGTTGGCGAGGATGAGGTGATGTGATGTTCATGGGGCAAGGGTAAGGAATGACTCACAGGAGGAGATGGAAGGCATGAACGAGTCCATTGTTCCATAACAGCAAGGCAGGCACCAAGGTCGAGTACTTATGGGAAATTAGCCAGCTTCCTTCCAACCAACAAGCAACAAAAGCAACTTGGCGCAGCGGAAGCGCGCCGGGCTCATAACCCGGAGGTCGAACGATCGAAACGTTCAGTTGCTAACTTGTTTTTTGTCTTGGCTTTTTTTTTTCTTCGGCAGTTTCTCTAGCGGTATCACCTATGACTGACAGGGCTTGGTGTATTCATTCTGTTAGTAATCCTACTCGGTACCTTTTGTTTCTCCGTAGCGGTACAATTTTCCGCCTACTTTCGGCCTACTTTCGGCCCTGCTCGTAGGGCACAAATGTGACCCCACCTTGACTGAACCAAAACGTCGTCGCAACTGCCCCTCCAAGCTACCCCGCACCACCCCGTACCACACATACTCCGTACGTATTCCGCTCGGCTTGCGACGGGTTTGTGCAGCCCAATTCCGTCATCGTCGTTTATGCCGACTTCAATGTGCGTGAGAGGAAGGAGCAAGGGGGAAGAAAATAAACATCTTAGACAGCTGAATTAATTCGTACCTGCCAGACATAATCATCCTCCAACAAACCATCATCCAAGATCCTGCAGTTACGGTACAGTGATTCACTGATTCATTTTCAATCTCCTCAATACCTCGTAACCTACCATACAGAGCACAGGATACAGCCTGAGCCACTAAGGTAGCCCATCACTCAGCCTCTGTCAACATGTCCCAAAGCTCGTGGCTACCCATCTCCCCTTCGAGCCACTTCTCACTCGCGAACATCCCTTTTGGCATCATCTCAACCTCCTCCGGCCCTACCCATCGTCCCGCCGTGGCCATTGGAGACCACGCTCTTGACCTACGAGCTTTCGCTACCGCCGATGGCTTCTCCGCCAACCCATCCATCCAGAACCACGCCGGCGTCTTCTCCTCAACTACCCTGAACGCCTTCGCCTCCCTGGGCCGCCCTTTCCACCGTGAAGTTAGGGCCTACCTCCAGTCCATCTTCGCCGCCGACACCCCTCACCCTAGCATCCTCAAGGACAACACCTCGCTCCGCCAGTCCGCCCTCCTGCCGCTGTCCGAGGTGACGAACCACCTCCCGCTGAGCATCGGCGACTACACCGACTTCTACGCCGGGAAACATCACGCCTACAACGTGGGTGTCCTGTTCCGCGGGCCCGCCAACGCCCTACAGCCCAACTACACCCACCTCCCCGTGGCCTACCACGGCCGCGCCTCCAGCGTCGTCGTCTCCGGCACCCCGATCCACCGGCCCTGGGGCCAGATCCTCCCGGACCCGAAAGCTGAACCCAAGATCCCCGCCCTGTCGCGTTGCAAGAGGCTCGACATCGAGCTGGAGCTCGGCATGTTTGTTGCGCGGGAGAACGAGCTCGGAAAGCCCATCCCTGTCGACCAGGCCGAGGACTACATCTTCGGATACGTCCTCTTGAACGATTGGAGCGCGCGTGATATCCAGGCGTGGGAGTACGTCCCACTGGGTCCTTTCACGGCCAAGAACCTCGGCACGAGCATCAGTCCCTGGGTCGTGCTCGCTGATGCCCTGGAGGGGTGTAAGACGGCCGGCATTGAGAATGAAACCGAGCTGTTGCCTTATCTGAAGGAGAAGACTAGGGAGAATCTGCTGTCCATTGATTTGGAGGTGGATATCATCAGTACGTTGTTTCCCCCCGCTCCTTTTCGTTTTTTTTTTCTGTTTCTTTTTCTTTTCCTTTTCTCTTCTTCTTTTATTGTCTGGCTAACACTCTTTCGCAGCTCCCAAAGGCAACAAGACGACCTTCACAAAGACCAACTCGCGCAACCTCCTCTGGTCGTGGCCTCAGATGATCGCTCACCACACCATCACCGGCTGTAACCTGAGGACCGGAGATCTGCTCGGTTCCGGCACCATTTCCGGCGCCGAGCCGGGCAGCGAGGGCAGTATGCTGGAGCAGACCCAGGGAGGAAAGGGAACTATCAAGCTGGAGGGAGGGGAGGAGCGCAAGTTCATCGAGGACGGGGATACGCTGGTGATTCGAGGCAGAGCAGGGGAGGAAGGCGCCTTGATCGGGTTTGGAGAAGTGTCGGGCACCATTCAAGCGGCGCTACCCTTGTTTTAGTGGATGTGTTACCCCTAGTATTCTATTACTGGACAATATAGAAATGTCGGACGGGAGTTGATGCCGAAGTTGGCCTGGTGTGTTAGAATTGGTGGATATTCTTAAGAAGATAATTGATCGTCTCCAGCCACACAATTGTACCATGTCTCTTCAACTTTTGCATGTCCCAAGTCCATAGAGAAAATTCAAGTCTACGGTCTACCTTCATTTAATCCGCCTTGCCCCTTAAAGACTCGGGAGTATCAGGCTGCACAAAGTACCCAGCTTTCTTCACAGCAGGGAGTTCCTCCAACTGCGCCATGATGCGGTGAATAACGGGAAAGGGAGACAAATCAACGCCATATCTCCTCGCATTCCAAACAGCAGGAGCGAGACAGCAATCCGCAATCGAGACGTCGTCGCCCACCGAGTAAGTGCCGGCCGAGGAAGCGACGAGCGTCTCGTAAGCCGCGAGGCCCTCGGCCATGAGCCCGCGCATCCACTCGTCTACCTGGGCGTCTCCTGCGCCGAGATGGCGCACGCGTCTCGCCACGCGCAGGTTCGTGACTGGTTGGATGTCGCAGGCCACCGTCAGGGCCAGGCTACGGGCGGTGGCGCGGGCGCGGGGATCGGAGGGTAGGAGTGCCGGGGTTGAAGGATGGGCTTCTTCGAGGTATTCTAGGGCGGCGACGGATTGGGTGATTTTGAACGGATGTGAATCGGATGATGATGATGACGAGGAGGAGGAGGATGAAGCAGATGGGGTGTTGTGACAGACGAGGAGGGGCACCGAGGCGGAAGGGTTGAGGGCCCGGTGGGATTCTGAGAGCTGCTCGCCTTTGAGGAGGTTGACGGGGACGAGGTCATAGTTTAGGTTCTTGAGGTTGAGGGCTATGCGCAGCCTGGCCGAGCAGGAGGAGCGGAAGTAGCTGTAGAGGGTGAAGTCGGGCATTTTGTCGCAGAGGTCCAGTAGGCTGTAACCTGTTTTCTGGGTCTTGAATCTGGATGGTTTTAAATCAAAGTATTTCGATGAGAAGAAAATAAAAGGGAAAGGAGAGTCAAAAAGAGTGAGTGAGTGTAACTGTATAAGTGTGGTATTGCCCAGCGCATATCCAACCTATCTATAAGGTACCTTGATATAAGGTACCTTGACGACCGAAGGGCGCGCTTGATGACGGCATGCATGCATGTGGGAATGTGTAGGGAAGAAAGTATTGCTCCGTACTCCGTCTCTCCAAGTCGTTGTTCCCGGCGTCTTCTATCGGTCGCAAATCCCGCTGCTTTCCGAAGTTCCGCAGGTGAAGCGAATTCCTGCAGGGATCATCTGACATTTCGCCGTTCCAAGGACATTTTTGTTAGTTGATCTAATAAAAGAAGATTTTTACAAGAAACAGAAGCCGGGAAATACTACTAGGTGAAAATGCGGTGACAATGTGTACACCGAAGGTCAAGATCTAAGGTCAATCAGATTTCCAACTCGTCGCTGAGTAAGCGAACCGACCGCCGTCACCAATGGTCGCCGTTGCTGTTGGCTAAGATACAAGGTACGTGTACACCGTTGCTTCACCGTTGCACAGACCTTGTACGCGTCCTTGCGTCATTTCCGCCAACCACGCCCCGATCCCCCTGCATCCGATTTCTCCTCCCCCAGTTATAACCAACATGGCCTCATCCATTGCGCGCCCTACACGTCTCGCTCCCGTACAACCTACAATGCGTGACCTATATCTTCACACACTCTTCACTCCAACTGAGCTCGATCCATCGGGATGATTCAGACTCCCTGCCCAACTCACTCTCGCCCAGGATGACGAACAGCGACGATGCCGAGCGAGCCCGACCACCACCCGAGAGAAAACAGCAAAAACAGCAAAAACACCACCACGACGCCAATGAAAATGACGGCGGCCATCAGCGCAACATCACCCATTCTCCAAGGTTACCCTGTCTCCCCCCCGAAATCTGGTGCCAGATCATAGCCTCCATCACCGACAGCCGCTACATCCCCCGCGCCTGGCTCAACCTCCGCCTCACATCCCGCTTCCTGAAATCCGTCACCGAGCGCGTCTTCGTCGACCTCCACCTCCGCCGCAGCCGCCTCGAGTTCCTCGCCTTCGACCCCGTCACCGACATCCATGGCGACCCGCGCCCGCTCGACTTCATCCTCGAGTTCGACCGCCTGTCCGACGACGGCTCCCGCGCCATCTACACCGACAAGGAGCTGCACGCCCACCACGGGCCCGAGCGCCTCTGCGCCGCCGACGCCCTCGCCTACCCGGACGGCGTCACCACCGTCCACCAGGCCCTCGTGTGCCAGTGGCGCCGTCGAGTCGAGGCCTACACCGCCCCGCAGCCGCCGGAGAACAGGCACGAGGTGCCCCCGCACGTGCTCGTCGTGCGCCGCATCGCCAACGACACCGAGCTGCCCGGTCTCCGCGTCGACTACGACGCCTTTGAGGTCTCGTTCCTCTGGCGTCCGGCCCTGACGGCCCTCTTCGCCGAGGAGGAGTATAACAAGTGGGCGGCGGCTGCTTCGGCGGCTGCTTCGGCGGCTGCTTCCGCTTCGGTTTCGGCTTCGGCTTCTGCTTCTTCGTCGTCTCCGGCGTGGTCGGTCGTGCCCTCGGCCGCGTGGCGGGAACTTCGCCGCTCTCTCGAGGATGGCCGCATCAACCGGCGGACCCTTTCCCATGTTGTGAAAAGCCGGCTCGGCGACCGGCGCAGGGTGGACGCCAAGGTCCGACAGCTCCGCATCCGGAGGTATTACTGCCGACATGGCCAGCAGTTGTCCTCCGGGGTGTTCCTGACACCCGAGTACCTGCGCAAGACGCGGGAGGTGCGCAGTCTCCGGCGCGACTTGCGGCGTGACGTTATCCCCGACGAATGGCTCATGGGCGACGACGAGGAGGAGGGCCGCGGCACGTTTTACGACGGTATGGGCATCTCGTACCCTGCCAGCGATCCCGAGTCCGAGCCTGATGACGAGGATCCTCGTTCCGGGGAACCCAAGTTCGGTGTCTCGGCGTCCTGGATTGATGTCAGATGGGAGCTGCAGATGGCAAGGGCACTCTACAGGGGCGCGGTTGGCTCTGCTTCCGCATGATCTGATCCCTTCCAAGTCGGCCACCACCGGTCTTGTTACACGCTGTCCTTCCTCGCAGGCGTTTCCATGGGTTACGCAGTGTTGCGCATTTATTTACACAATTCATCAAGAACGTATCGCAAACTCGGCCAGTGAACACCCACACTCTGGTCGTTGGAGCCTTCTTGTTTCCTGTAGCGGCTGGAATCCTCTGTACCCTTAACCGAGCGAGCGGAGGCCAAAGATTGACCCCTCTCCCAGCGTCTGCGGCATGGCAATTAATTATCGAATCCGCCACCGCTCGCTTCGACAAGAAAAAAACGATATACATACTTACGTTGTACACTAGACCAGAATTGCAAGTGTGGCCCACGGAGTTTTCCCTGCATCAAGGATTAATACCGAAATACCGATTTTCCAATGGAAAAGTCGTGCAATCAGGCCAGGACTGAAAGCCCCGGATCGCTTGGCCCGGTCTATCACCTTCCCTATTCAGCCGTCTTCTCCGGATGGGTTACGAGGTCCCGCTCAACCGCTAACTGGGATCAAACGAGATTCCTTTTCTGGTCTCAGCTCTTGGGGCTGGCGAGCGAAGACCTGCGGAGCTTGTTATTTTGCGCACCGTGAAAGAAGGCAAGGGCATGCGGATTGATCAATTGATAGGGGGATCGGTCATTTGAACCATTCATTCGGTTGCACAAAACCGCCCATCTGGTGACAACATGACAGACAACAAGGTCGACCTACTTCAGACAGGACAAGACCAATAGAGGAGGGCGTTTCCTCCTGAATGCAACCCCGAGCCCAGGCCCTCTGGTTTACATTCCCAACCGCCGGGGGACTACGTAAGGCTTACTAGGTAATCCAGGTTCGTCGCTCTCTTCTGGAAGCTCTATGCAACTGCTTGGAGCTTGAGGATCATTCCTCGTCAACCAGCTTCCCTTTCAAGCGTAGCTCGGAGGGGACAATCAGACTGGGGCTCTGGGGTACCAACCACCAAGCAAGGGTTGACGATGCCGCCATGTGAAGCCAGTCGATGACTCGGAGTCGGTCAACAGTGTCGGACCGCATGCCCATATCACTTGTGCACCTATATGAAGGCTCGTTCCGACCTTGGTTCTCCTGCCTCCTCCTCTCCAGCTCAGACTCTCTCCACGACGTCCCGTCCAACTTGATTGAGTTCAGTTTCCTAGACCCGTTCTACCCCTCCCCGAGCCGACCGTCGTCATGCGTTACACCACCCCCATCCTCGCGGCCCTCGCCGCCACGGCTACGGCCACGGCCCCTATGGAGCGTGCTACCAAGATGTTCACTCTTGAGACCGCACCTGGCGAGACGATCGAGGTGACCGAGGAGGAGAAGTTCCAATTGATGGATGTACGTGAACTTCCCCTCTCTCCATGCTTCCCCAGTACCTCTTTGCGTTGTCTTGTTAGGGGAATCCTGGGACTCTCTGACACACCGCACAGCAAGGCAAGCACTTCTTCGACATCACCGAGTTCAAGGACGCCGAGATCTCCGCCCTCCGCCTCCTCGAGGACGACTCCCGCCCTTTCCCCAACAAGCTGCACCAGCGCTGCACCGTCGAGAAGCTCCACGCCAAGATCGACCTCGACACGATCAAGACCCAACTCGAGGAGTTCACCACCTTCCACAACCGCTACTACCAGTCCCAGTACGGCGTCGCCGCCGCCGAGTGGCTGTACGAGCGCGTCCGCGAGGTCATCCAGGCGAGCGGCAACCCGCTCGCCACCGTCCGCCTTGTCCGCCACGTCGCCTGGGCCCAGCCCAGCATTGTGGCTACCATCCCTGGCTCGGACCGCGACCGCATCGTCGTGGTCGGTGCTCACCTGGACTCGGTCATTTCCGGTGATCGGGGTGCCGGCCGTGCTCCGGGTGCCGGTACGTTTCTTTTACGTTTCTTTCCTTTCCTTTTATATTGGTTTCTTTTTCTATTCTTTTTTTATTTTTATTTCTTTTTTGCTTTTTTTGTTCTCTCTCTTCTTCCACTTCGCGTGACCTGTCACTCACACCATCTCCCAGACGACGACGGCTCCGGCTCCCTCATGATCCTCGACGCCCTGCGCGTGCTGCTCACCGACCCCCGCATCGCCGACGGCGACCTCCTCAACACCATCGAGTTCCACTGGTACGGCGCCGAGGAGGCCGGCCTGCTCGGCTCGCAGGACATCTTCACCCAGTACCGCGGCCTGAACCGCCAGGTCGTCGCCATGCTGAACCAGGACATGGTGGGCTACAAGGGCCGCGACGGCATCGAGCGCTTCGGCCTCGTCACCGACTGGACCTCGCCCTCGCAGAACGAGTACATGAAGCTCCTCATCGGCGAGTACACCGACATCCCCTACGAGGAGTCCCGGTGCGGCTACGCCTGCTCCGACCACGCGTCGGCCAACCGCAACGGCTACCGCTCCTCGTTCGTGTTCGAGACCCCCTTTGGGAACCATAACCCGCTCATCCACACGCCCAACGACACGATGGACACGGTCGACTTTGACCACGTCTACCAGCATGCTAAGCTCACCACGGGGTATCTCTATGAGCTGGGCTACTGGCCTTTTGCTCCTGAGACGTCTTTGTGAGGGAGGGACCCCCGGAAGGATCATAAAATAACATAGTAGATAATGAAGGAATCAAGATGAATGATGACGCTTGGAGACATTTACAAGTTTCCCCCGTGGGCTTCATGTTTCGAACCCGATGAGGGAGAACATAATGATTACCTGGGAGAGTTCTATGGCGCCTACACGCCTTACCCTGAGTTACTTTGGTACTGACTGGACTTATATGAGCATACGGGCGCAACTCGTGGGACGTGGTTTGCCAAAAGGATAAGAGAATAGACAATCTCATGTGGGTGGGACGGACAGGCCAAGCGCAAGGGTCGGATCGTAGAACCGACCCACAGGACCGGCGACGGTCCTTGGCTAGTTATCAGGTAACAGAATCTGGGACGACGGCCGGCTCCGACGCCCGTGAGCCTGGCCCGGACGGGTCCGACGGGGCCTCCGTTTCGGACCGTTGGGACTTGCGTTACCGGTAACCGGACTCAGGCCGAGGAGCTTTGTCCGGGGAAACCCTCCAAAGTATGGATTCCTCTCAATGAGACATGTGAATTCAGATAGCCAGCACGGAGAGCATGCGGTACAGAAACTTCTGATAAATTTGTCTTTATCCGCAAGTATTTTCGAGGTTAGTCGTAGTCTCGCGATTCCCGAGGAAGAAGGACATCGTGTCGGTTCTTAGTGATGACAAATCACTACTGGGCTTAATGACTCAGCAGCTTTCCTTTGTATTGGGGTCTGGGCAAATGATTGTGTTTGCCGGCCCATGGTATGGTGGATTTGATTGAGTAATACTTGGGTAACAGAAATTACCGGATCAGCCTTTCGGTCGAAGCTCGACAAAACTCGACGCAAGGACTGCAGAAATTCGAGTTTCGGATCCCGACAAGCACGGAGTACAACGTACGTACACGTGTAGGGTCGGGCCCGCTAGGAGAGTGGTCAAGAAAGAAGAGAAAAGATTTTATTTTTGTAGTTAATCGTTAGGGTCCAGACGACAGCTGCACATGGTGTAGCGCGAACATCTATAACTTTACGGATATATAATTGCGCACACATTAACTGTGAGAAGGACTGGCGAGATTCGGGATGTCGAAGTATCTGAGAGACGAGTCAAGGTTTCCCAAGTACCTAGGGCTTACGCTCTGGATATGAAGCTAATAAGAATCTGTGTGTGTCTTACAGAAGAATGACCGACAGCGCCCAAGTCTCTCTTCATTATGGTTTTCTTTTTTAAACCTGTTTTTTAAACCAGTTTATCATCTCCGCGGCCCCCGGAGAAGTAACGAGTTGGGAGTCGAGAACTGGATGAAAGCCAGGGCAAGGTACTGTCAGTGTGGCTGTTTTCAGACGTGCGGCCAGTCACATGGGACAAAATTGTGGGGTAAGAGTGTCGGCTCCAGCCCACGGAGTAAAATTGGCCGTTCTGCGTTCTGGGAAAGATGATGAGGGGAGAAGCTACGGTGACCATTGCCCGAAAGAAACGTTCAATGTCTCTTTCTCCATCTGTCTCGGCCAATCGGTCCTCATTTGGGGCGACCATTTCGACGAAACCAACCCATATCGGTGAGGGTTTGTTTTACGGAGGAATTAAATTTCTTCTCCCGCAGCAGCAACGTGCTTGACAGCTACCTAAGGTACTTCGTACCTACCTAAGTGTTTGCTGAGAATATGAGGAAGGGCATCACAAGTGAATTTCACCGCTTAACCGCCCTGTGTGCGGGACCCTGACATCATATCCTGGGGTAATGGTCTAGACCAGGGGCTGGTGCCGGATCTTGGATCTGCAAGGGGTGCTCTGACCTCTACTCAAGTGGTTAGCGGAATCTGTAGATGGTAATTTGTAATTACGTGTACCTTAGAGAGGAACGCGAATTTCAGAACACCGAGTAATGAATTACCGTTCAGCTATCGGACTGGAATAAGGCATTCGAGAGGAGAGAAGAACGTGTTATTTCGGAGTTTCTAACGCTGAAATAATCGAGGCAGAAGACGGGATTGGAGTGGGAGGAATGCGGGGAAAAAGGAAGGGGAAAAAGGAAGGGAAAAAAAAAAAAGACCCACCGGGAATTGAAGCTCGGTAAGGTACGGTACGGTATGATGTGGGGATTAGCGTCCCGTGATCGATTTCTTTTGTTCCTTTTTTTTTACCCCTTCCGGTCTTTATTTCCCCGATAACACTACCCATATTGCTCTTCCATTTTCTACTCTGTACTTCGTATTCACTTAATTAATAGGTGCAAAAGAAGAGGCTATATGCTTCGTTCTATACTTAGGATACTGGTTGGTGTAAGTAGATAGTTACAAAGGGATATATGTTTCTCTCAGAAACAGCACTTGGATACCCACCTTACTTTTATTCATTGCGCGAAGAAAAAAGTGTCCAAATAATTTATGGACACCACTCTGTACGGATCTGCGGAGTACTCGAGAGCTGGGATCTACTCCGTTGTGCCGTGTATGGTCGGGGAAGAAAATTCGATACGAATGAACATCAGATCATCTATGCGTAAGGTATGCCAGGTAATTATATTACCATTATCACAGTCTGAGCAGAGAACCCTCCCGATTCATATGGCGCAGTAACGATCTTAATATAACTGCTACATGATGCTTATTCCGATTGAAAACACAGCAACATGGCGTGTCCTCTCAGAATCGAGGCTTTCATCAATGCCGTAAATGCCCCTGGAGGAACAAAGAACCGGACGGACCGGACACACCACCATAGTCAATGCAAACAAAGTCAGCCGGACATATTGGCTCGGGCTGTGTGTGCGCTCTGCCTAGGCCGTGTTAGCCCGCCTGTAAGACTGCCACACTGTACGACGCTCGTAACGCAAGTCTAAAAGACATAGATTGACCAGTAAAAGGCGGGGGACCTAACCCCGTGACCCTTTGTTGGAGAGGGCTGTACATTGTCAGCACAGTGTCAACATTGGAGACGAGAATCCCAAGTGGGGTCACTTCTTTATTCCATGACACATAGTTACTCGATTTATGGAAAGTCATCGAACTAGGGCCCATCGTCGACGCGAAGCTGAAGCTACCGAGAGGGAAGGAAAGGGGGGCTGACGGTCGAGGAATAAAACCAAAACCATAAAGCCACGAGGAGTTGCCCTTCTTTGTCGTGTTACTTATCTTTTGGAAGCCTGCTTTTCTCCTTCAACCGACACCTTTCCAGGCTGTGAACCATTAATAACGAAAGGAGACGCTGCAGTTGTTCGGCCTCTCTTCCATCGAAACGAAGATTGACAAGCAAACAGACCAGCTCACTACCCGTTGCGGTGTCCAAAGACATTGGACCTTCAAGGTTAACAATCGGCGAATTTGTCCGGTACACCCCAGTTCTCCACAGACGAGTCGAGGGACAACAGGCAAGGAAAGAATCAAAGCGAAGGGAAGGGAAAGACAGGCATTGCGACTTGGACTTGGGGAGACAGAGAGACTTGGGCAGACAATTCTACAATTTACTGTCACTTCTTTCGCCTCGGACAAGCAAGCAAACAAGGCAAGGAGAACGGGCCGCTGCAACCCAGGTACAGCCACGTCACAGCACGTCACACCAGGTGTGTCCTGCCCAAAAAAAAAAAAAAAAAAAAAAAAAAAACCCACCGCCAAAATGCCACACCGAGTCGCCGACTTTCTACGCTCCTCCACAGAGACTCTCTCTGCCGCCGCCAAATCCTCCCTCAAATCTTCCATCCACCCGCGTTCTGAATCTGACTCTAGTTCTCAGCGTCGCGATTCCTCCCACTCTCGTTCTCCCACTCGGAGTCGCATCGACCGTCAGTTTTGCCGCACCCCCAGCGTGTCTGATGACGGCAGTGACCATTTCGTCCCCTTCATTCAAATGTACGCCCCAGAACCCGTCCCGGCCAACATCCGAAGCGAGAGGAGGAGGAGGAGGGGGAGCAGGGAACGTGGTGATGTGAAAGACAGCAAGGAGAAGGTGAAGCAGCAGCATGACAGCAGCCACGCCCGCCGACTGTCTATGCCTTTCGGCCGAAGCAAGGAACGTCGCGAAAACCCGCACGCCTCCCTGAGCTGGGAGGTCGAGAGCCCGCCAATCATCTTCTATGGCGAGGCCGAAGCCTCCACCGGCGCCCTGGTGTCAGGCCAGCTTTTCCTCGACATCAAAGACGAGGCATTGGACGTGGACTCCTTCATCGCCACCTTGCTCATCCACGTGCACCACAAACGGCCCTTCTCCTCCCACTGCGCCGACTGTACCGACCAGTACACCGAGCTCAAGCGTTGGGTCTTCCTCCACACCCGCGATGGTGTACCCTCCGCTCTGCGCCGCGGCCGCCATGCTTTCCCCTTTTCCGTTCTTCTCGACGGCCACCTCCCTACCACCATGGAAACCTCGCTCCTCTCCATCTCCTACGAATTTCGTGCCGAGGCCGTGTTCGCATCCCACCCGGACGCTTCGCCCGCCCTCAAGCCCTCGCGCCTGTCTTTCGACCGCATCTTCGAAGTGAAGCGCTCTCTCCTCCGACCCGACACCCCGCACCAGTCCGTCCGCATCTTCCCGCCCACCAACATCAAGGCTGCTGCTTCCTACATCCGCATCATCCACCCAGCCGTCTCGGGCCAGAACCTGGCCCTTCGCCTGGACGGGCTCGCCACCGCCAACCCCGAAGCCAAGAGGGTCGAGTACTGGAAGCTGAAGAAGGTGACGTGGAAGCTCCAGGAGACCATCAAGACCGTCGCACCGGCGTGCAAGAAACACATGCCGCACATCCCCGGCGGCGGCGCCGCTGCTGCTGCCGTCGACGGCACAAGCACAAGCACAAGCGCCGACGAGGCGGCGCAGCGCAAAGGCGTGTTGCGCACCGAAACCCGCACCCTCGGCGAGAAACACCTCCACGGGGGCTGGAAGTCGGAATACACCAGCACGGAAGGTCGGGTGGACTTGGAGTTCGAGTTCGGCCTCTCGCCCGCCATGCTGGGCTCGTCCCGCCCCGGATACGCCTGCGACGCCGGGTCCCGCGACGGCACCTCGGTGACCCACGCCCTCGTGGTCGAGATGGTCGTCTCCAAGGAGTGGGCGCCCGTCGGCAAGCCGCAGCTCGCGTCGCAGACCGGCACCGGCCGGATCCTGCGCATGCACTATAACATCATGCTTACCGACTTCCCTGGCTTGGGCATCAGCTGGGATAACGAGGCGCCGCCCGTCTACCAGGACGTGCCGCCTAGTCCGCCTGCCTACCAACCTGACGACGGGGCCCCGGGCGCGGATTATCGGGACCTGGAGCCGCTGGATGCTGTTCGGGGCAGTCCCGAGCTGGCAGTCAGGGACTGGAGGTGGGAGGAAAGCGATTTGCAATCACCTTGATTTGATGGCTCGACGCTTTTGCCAAATAATGACCGCCATGGAGATACGCGCGCACAAGGTTAAAAGGGGAATCCAAAAGGGAGAAGGGGGGTTGGGGGGGGGGGGGGGGGGGGGGGGGGGGGGGGGGGGGGTTGGGTTCTGCATCTTTTGGCGTTCAGGCAAACCTCACAGCATATATTGGGCATTCAGCGACCACGCATCGCTGCGATTTGGGAGCGGCAAGCTGGGACGATGACGATGACGCGAAAGAAATAAAATATTCTATTTTCCACTCTGTATCTTGTGTGGCATCAGCATTCTCATATATCGTTGCGCCAGTTATGGCGACTTCGGCCTACCTTTGCTATACATGCCTTGGTCATTTTGAAGAGGCGGACCCAGGACGGGGATCATGTTCTGTGTGGCCACACGCGAGGGCATGATCAACCGACGCCCCGTCTTCCATGATTTTGGTCGAGAGCACAAGGGAGAAGATCGCGTTGAGGGGGGCTATACATGCTACCGAGACTTACCATGTGGTGGGTGGCAGGACCGAAGCGGCGCGAAGCGGAACTACCATGGCATTCTCATCGTTGGTACCGAATCTTGTGCGAAATTCACCCAACTTTTGAACGTCGCACCAAGGTGTCTTTTGATGGGCGATTCCAAGGCGGCGGATGGTTGGAATGGGGAAGTAAGACGAGCCAGCCAACCTCTGGAAGCGTGTCTGGGCTCCTGTTCGCGGACATCTGATCGTGGCAGACAGTTCGACAGTGTTTCGTTTCGGGGTCGGCCTATGCTGCCCGGGGTGGCCGGGGACTTGTATGGACGGTCGTCGGAGATGTAAAGACGGTTCAGTACATTTTGACGGGGGTGTTCTCTGAGATTCGGGCGACGAGGCGGCGTGGCGGCGTGGACTGGAAATTTTGGGCAAAGTTGACCATGTATTCCACGACATGAACCTCGTCATCGCATCGCGCCGCACCGGCCACCTGTCGGAGAACCGAATGCAGGCCACGATGCCTTGATGAAGATGCATCGGTGTCGCCGCGCCCGAGGAGATTCGAGATGGCTATCGTCCCACTCCAAAGATAATGTCTATTGTCTTGCCGGCGTTGGTTTTCGTCCATGCAGAAGCTCCGTCTCTGGGGAATCGAAGTGAAGGGCCGAGGTGCATCATCATCATCGTATGTGATTGAAATATGGTGGACGGTCAATTCCAAGGACACCAAAGTCCATTCCACCACTGGGGACAACGGTTGCGGCTTGCGTTTGTCGCGGGGGCCTGTTGCCCTGACCTTGGGGCCATGTTGGACGAATACAGGGCCTCAGCGGTGGTCCGCAAAAAAAAAAAAAAAAAAAAAAAAAAAACCCAGATTTTCTGTCGCGCGACTCTCGACTCGTATCCCAAGGGACATATGGCGACGGACTACGGACTTGGCGAGGTGTTGCTTCTGATACTGTGTTCGGGTAGGGTCTGGCGGAGGCGACGAACACGAATGACGTAAAATAATAATATTCAAAACAGTCGACTCGAGGTGTCCCTGGAAATGTCGCACGTAGCGTGATGACTGATGACACGTCCCTCAGACCGTGGGAGCGATGCAATTTTGATCAACCAGCTATGAGAGACCGACGTCATAACGAGATGTCGAGGTCCGTAGCCCGTACACTAGAGTGGAACATGAGTAGAGCTCCGAGGGGTTGGTTCATCAGGGGTCGCTGATGCCAGGTGCGTGACTACCTGTCATAGCAGGCAAAAGATCGGCCAAGGGAAGGCGTGAGTTTGTTTTGGCCCCTCGGAAACTCCGTGGGGAATGAGTCTTTAGCCGGGAGCCGGTCCGTGTGATCCCAACACTACTGCGTAAAGTTCACGGACGGACGATCGGCTAACGGAGCCGTCAGTCCCGGCTTCAGCGTAGAGTTTCGATGAGAAACCGAAATTCCCATCCATTCCCATCAAACTTCTTTCGTCATGGCGAGCCCGATTTCTCAAGTTGGGCACGAACGAGGCCCCCGTCTCATTTCGCTAGACGGGGGAGGGCATAGTGTGAATTGTTATAGAAAGGCGGGACATGACGCTGGCTTTGGTGTCATTGTCGTGGAGTATGTACGGAGAAACGACGCCATTTCGAATGGAGGCCAAGGGGTGTTAGTAATGGGATAGAGTTGAGAGGAGAATTTGAAGACACGTTCGGCAGGAAAAGAGAGAGAAGAAAATAGGAAAATAGGCAGGGCGCCTCTCACATGGTAAAGGCTTTTTGAGAAAAGGAGGACGAACGAGAGGGTCGAGCGCAGAGTGCAGATCGCAGACTAAAAAGACGGTGGGAAGGCCGTCGTTTTGGAATCGGAATCATGGAAACTGGTCAGGGGAAGAAAGAGACGGGCAGCATTGCGGGATGCAGTTCTAACTCGCCCGCAGAGACGACAAAGTCCGGAACCAGGATGCCGACGGAATGGAACGAATCGGGAGGCCAAGGGACGGGATAGAAAACGATTGTCCAATATCAAAAAGTAATCAATCCGAACTTCGAAATACTGCGTAGAATGATCAAAGATGGTCCAAAGGGCGCAATGCGAACGTAAAGTGATGCCGTAGGAATATAACTCTAAAAGACCCCTTCGCGCACCTTGACAGAAATCAATTCTGGTAATAGACGACGCATAGGCCAATCAGCGACCGTTGATAACAACTCGGGCCACGAAAAGAGCGCTTTCCTGTCGGGTTGGATTCCAACGGCCCACATGATTGGTACCCGGCGGGTACAGGTACATAGCGTGCGTGTATGCAATGCAACCCGTGGGGTTCCGAACTCGGAAAACACGCGCATAGGGTGAGCGGCTAGTACCTTAGCGACTTGTACTTCGTACCTTAGGGAGAAGTCGCATCTGGGCATGCACACTAGGTACCTGAAGGTACGATCGAAGTGCTGATCACAGTAGGTAATGAGGTTTGGAAATGCTTTCCCCAATCCCAACCTACCATAACGTCCTTCTTATTTTGTGGTTTCATTTCGTAATGTTGGGTGGGAGGGGGGAACAGGGAGATCATCACGCGGGAAGCGGGAGGGAGGGCAATGATATGGAAAGGGTGATTGATTGACTGGACAGACGAGCATGAACGATCGATATTAGTAGATTGGACGTCTCTTATCGAGGCACCAATTCCCCATTCCCCATTCTCCATTCCCCCTTCCCCCTCCTCCCACTGCCATATGTCGGTGCCGGTGTCGCTTGTCTGTCGTTTGTGCGCGGCCTGGCTAGCCCTTCATCACGTCTTGGCAAGCTCAAATCGAGGGGGTGGGACAACGGGATGGACGGGGGGTAGTCTGGTGAGGACAGATCAATATCAGTATCAAAAGACAAATAAGCACACTAAATAGTGGGCTGGCTGGCTTCACCGAGGGTGGGCAGTCGACTACAGAGTATGCATATATGATATCTCAATACGCTATCAACGACGAATCCATGGCCGCTACTGAAAATAGTAACAAGGGGTACGAGGTACGTACGAGGCACGGGGTGTCGCGTGCGAAATATAGGTACGGACTAATAATCATAACCAGTACCTCGTACGAGAATATACAACGTATTGCATTTCTACGGATATATCCTTCGTAGTTTGCTGAACCAGCGGATATGCCAACCGGCGGAGGATTTCGGGTTCTGTTTTTGCGACAAAGGAGTTTACGGCCTGGGCAGAGCCATCGAGAAGCCGAAAAGGCACTGCACCCGAGGAGGCTCTGACTCGCCACCTCTACTTCTGGATAGAAATACGGAGTTTGGAGTGCGTATCAGAAGTACCGGCAAGTATCGTCATAGTCCCGCAAATCAGGAGGTACCACGGGTGCGTTAAAACAGAACAGGCTGAAGTAATCTACCTAAATCTTTAATACAGCTGAGCGAGATGATCGACTTTGCAGTGTTAGACACTGAGGTATTTCCATGCGAACTGTTACTATGCCTTTTTTTCTTCTTCTCTTTTTTCCCCTTTTTTTCCCTCGTTCCTTTTTCTATTGGCAATCTCCGTCTCCCGCTTGAGAAACGGCAACAGACGCATCTTACCCTTTCTGCCTCTGGTACCTGCTACTGGAAGAAAAGAAAGGAAAACCTCGACCCGGTACGATTGGGGGAAGACTTTCCGTCTGAGCCACCCAGCAGCCAGCCCAGCCCTCCACTGCGAGCCCATAAAGGCACCAATTAGGCATCCGCACCCCCCACCATCGCCCCCCGCCATCGCTCAGCTAGGCACCCTGACACACACCCCGCTTCCCATTTACACCCCACTTCGCAGGTACGGCGTGGTACGGCCTTGGTACCGGCTGCAGAACTGTAGGTACTGTGACTGTACAGCATCGCTCAAGGTTCCCCACTCTCTTATCTCTCCCCTTTATCTCACAGACAACCCGGAGACACCCCGTGAACGTGAAGTGGCTGGCCTGGGAATCCGAACCTTGGGTCCAGCCTCGCCCCACCCACGACAGATAAAATCCTGGAAGTCCGCCCCTCCATCCGTCCGCTTCTGAATACCACAGGACCCTTAATCTCATCAATCTATTCTTTTCTTTCCACTTCAAAATACTGCAAATATCTCCTTCTTCATACTTTTTGCGGGTCAGGATCTTGCATTTTTCCAACGACCAATTTCTTGATTGATTGCGCCAACATCCTTCGCACGAATTCGATCATAATCCTATTCTTATCTTCTCTCTTCAGACACACACACACACACACACACACATCGCCCGCCATGGTGAGTTCCGCTCCCCAGATCTTCTTCGCATTGTCGAGGAACGAACGAAACGTTTTTGTTTACTGATTCATTTCTCCGCGACGACAGGCTCCTTCAGATACCATCACTTCGAGGACCGAAACCGTAAGCACAAACCCACATGAACACCGTCCAGCCACCTGACATGGGGCACAACCACAAACTCGTTCCAAATTGCTGACGTTATATTTCCCACAATAGCTCATGAAGTACATGAGCCTCGACCAGAAGGGCCAAATCATTGCCGAGTACGTCTGGGTAGATGCTGAGGGTAACCCTCGGTCTAAGTCTCGCGTATGTTCTCCCCTCCCATGTTCTTAGGTGCATCATGGCGGTGTTGCTCCCCAACTGGGACGAAGCAAAGGCTGACCTGTGATCGCTTTTCTTTTTTCCAGACCCTCCCGGAGAAGAAGAACTACACTCCCGAAGACCTCCCCATCTGGAACTTCGACGGCTCTTCCACCGGCCAGGCCCCCGGCGACAACTCCGATGTCTACCTGAAGCCCGTTGCCATCTTCCCCGACCCCTTCCGCGGCTCCCCCAACATCATTGTCCTCGCCGAGTGCTGGGACGCCGATGGCCAGCCCAACAAGTTCAACTACCGCCACGAGTGCGCCAAGATCATGGAGGCAACCGCCGAGCATGAGCCGTGGTTCGGTCTCGAGCAGGAGTACACTCTGCTTTCTCAGAATGACAGGCCCTATGGCTGTATGTTTTCCCTTCCCATTTCACTCCTCTTGCACCCCGCAGATCACTAACATCAAACGTACAGGGCCCGATGCTGGTTTCCCCGCCCCCCAGGGTCCTTACTACTGCGGTGTCGGCACCGGCAAGGTCGTCCAGCGTGACATTGTCGAGGCCCACTACAAGGCGTGCCTGTACGCCGGCATCAAGATCTCCGGTGTCAACGCCGAGGTCATGCCTGCTCAGTGGGAGTTCCAGGTCGGCCCGTGTGTCGGCATTGAGAGTGAGTGGTTTTTTTTTTCTTTCTTTCTCTTATCCCACACAATTTCCTCCTCGAGTTGCCCACTAATAATTCGTTCCTGCAGTGGGTGACCATCTCTGGGTGGCCCGGTACCTCCTGCACCGCATCTCCGAGGATTTCGGCGCCAAGGTGTCGGTGAACCCCAAGCCCATCCCCGGCGACTGGAACGGCGCCGGCCTGCACAGCAACTTCTCCACCAAGGAGATGCGCGAGGAGGGCGGCATGAAGCACATCGAGACCGCCATCAAGAAGCTCGAGGGCCGGCACAAGGAGCACATCGCCGTCTACGGCGAGGGCAACGAGCTCCGCCTCACCGGCAAGCACGAGACCGGCGCCATCGACTCGTTCACCTGGGGCGTCGCCAACCGCGGCGCCTCCATCCGTATCCCCCGCGAGGTCGGCGCCAAGGGCTACGGCTACTTCGAGGACCGCCGCCCCGCGTCCAACTCGGATCCGTACAGGATTACTGCCATCCTCATGGAGACATGTTTCGGCAACACCACCGCGTAAATGCAACCAAGTCGAGAAGATACCATTTTGCTTTATTTAGTTCCCGCGTGTTTTTTTTTTGGACATGAAGAATCAAGTTTTCTACTGTCGTCTTTTGCGGATTTATGGTACCACCTATGGCCGGTGTTCAATAGACAGCAATCGTTTGCTTTAGCATATAATTTTCTCCCACGATGAGGATGAGAAGGATGACAATTGGTGATGGTAGTCCCAAGAATACAATGATCCATACACATGTTCCTCGTCTTGCCGTCAGTGCGTGACTACACACATGCCTTGGCTCCTCTTCCCCATTCACTTCGCCAGCTACCTATTCTCAGATATCTTGCTCCATAAAAGGATAGATTCCGACTCTGGAAGGTATCACTTGTGCGAGAACGGCTACTACGTACGTCCCTAGGCCAAGACAAAACCCCCGGATATCGTGTTGCGGGTCTAGGGTCCTCGTCGCTTTGTCCAGTCCCTTGCCGAGATGCTGATGGGGGACCGTGGGGAAGTGTGGGGTTGAGGTGACGCAGCAAGGAGGACGGCCAAGACGCTGACTGGATCACGGATGACCGTTGTGTCACATGTGGAAGGTCAGGAACTTGGGCTCTGCTAAATGGAGTGGTCACAGGTAGACCCTTCGTGCGCAATTACAACTCGTCCGTGGACACATGCGAGAGGCGGATGATCGAAGACGAGACGAGGCGCTTGGCGGGTCGTAGTGTATGCTGTTGCACTCAAAAACGTACTACTACACCAAAAGAGAATCCTCTAATGTGTAGGTACTTCTTGAGGTATATAGTTCAACATAACACACCCCCCAGCCTGTATAAGGACGATCTTCGTGCTTAAAGGCTGACTGGAAACACACTTGCATCGACACGGCTTATGTTATATAAGCGGTCTTCTAGGGCACTAAAGCTCATTTAAGGCATCTCCTCGGCTAGGTTTCGAAAGTTTGGTGGAAGAGGTTATTACACGTCGCCTTAGCGACTAACTCTAGTAGCAGCAGCAGCAGTAAAATGTTACGCCTACCGTGGTTTCCGGAGCCCCTTAGGGGTAAGTTATCGCGCCGGTTATCGAAAATAGCGCTATTATTAATAGTGGTTCGGCTATAGTGGGTGGTGGTGAGGTTAGCGGTGGCGGTGAAACCGCCGCTCCGGTCGCTTAAAATAGAGCGCAGTAATAGTATCTAGGTTCGCCGGACGTTATTTTTATATTTTTGCCTGTAGCTTTTAGCTTAGGTGTATAGGATAGCGGTATATAACGATACCACGTTTTCTTTTACTAAATTAACTAAGCCGCGGGCGTGCGGCGCGCCTCCAGCGCTAGATTTTAACCTCTAACTTCTCCGGTCCACCCCCTCTATACACTCGTTATATTAAGATATACGCGGAAGATTTCGAACTTTTATCGCGGGAGTATCTTCGTTAATCCGTCTACCGGTATAAGGCTTATAGCTAAATAAACCACCCTAAAGGTCCCTTTACCGTGCTCCTATCAAACCTATAAGCGTTAAATATCTATATATCTAAGCCGGGTTTTAATCCTATAGCCGTCGTCCACTATAAGCCTAATTATTTAAGTGTTATCGTAATTAATATCCTAAGGGGATTCGGGGTTAAAGTGTATTTTTACGAATAGACGCTTTAATCCTATTATTTCCTTCGCGACTTATTCTAGAGCGAGTAGCTCTGCTTCGGTTATAGACGTAGTAATGGTTACTTACCTTATTACTTTCCACACCACTAGACCTCTAAATAGGCTAATAAGATAGCCTTAGGAAGATCGTCGTGTATCGATATCGTTAGTAAAAAAGGCGTCGCTCGCGATTACTATAGCCTATAAACCAGTACTCGATCCGTACTAAATTAAGAGGTCCCTGGTTATATATAAGTAACGGATAGCTTAGTCCGCTACCTTATAATACTCCGGGGAGGGGTTTTTAAGAAAGCGGGAAAGGATAGATACCGTAAAAGCCACGTTAGGACGTATTATAACTACTATATATAGTAACGATCCGACCTTTTCTTAGTACAATTTAACCTCTTAAGCCGTGGCTTCGTCTTGTCTCTTACGGTATTCTATAATAGAAACGGGAATCACTAGGTATATATTAGTAGCGTCTAGATTAAATCTAGCTATAATCTTCTCGATATATAAGTTATAGCTAAGCAGAACCTTACGCCGGGGGCGATCTCGCGTGATCTTAATCCCTAGGAACTATTCTGCGTCACCTTTTTCTAATACTTCGAACCTCTTTCTAATACCGTTAATAATCCTAAGGGCGTTTATAGCCGTGTTCTTATAGAATAAGATAAGGATATCGTCTATAAAGAAGATGATAAACGTGTCTTAAGCTATAGTATAAAATAGGCATAGCTCTTCTTTACTAGCCTTTATCCCTAGATCCGATAACGTGGCTATAAAGGTCTAGAACTATAATCGAGGTGAATCTTGTAAGCCGTAGAGTACTTTATTAAGCTCTAAGCACTTATCTAGCTGCTTAAACCTATCTAGAAGCTCGTATATAACGGGCGTTCCTATTCTATTCCTCTCGGCGTTAACGAAGGCGTTAACGATATCTAGTTGCTTAATCTCTAGGTTAAATTACGCGGCTAAAGCTATAATAATACGAAAAGACCTCGTAGCGAGCGTTACTATATAGGTTTCTTTAATCGTTAAGCTTTTCTAGAGATCCCCTCGGATATATATCCTTACCTTATATCTCTTAAGATACCCGCCTTAGTTAAACTTATAGGTAAATACCTATTTAAGTGGAAAAGGCTTAGACTTCGCCGATACCCTATTAATTTCCCTCCACGTGCGTTTCTTAATTAGCTTATTAACCTCCTTGTACGCCGCTTCCTTAAACTAGTCGCGTATAGGGTGGTTATAAAGCTCTCTCTAGTGTCTTAATACAGCCTTTAAGTGGTCGCGATAAACCCTGCTATCGAGTAAGGACTTCGGTGTTAAATCCTCCGTTACTTTCGAATAAGCTTTCGTTTTTATATCGGCTACTCCGAATATCACTAAGTAAAAGGATAGGAGCCCTTATACCTTATCGTCACGCACTTCTTATTAATTAGATAGGAAGAACGTATACGTTAAAGGCACGTCTAGCTCTACTACGTATATCCGTGGATTAATCCGAATAGTCTTCCCCTAAGCATATTAATCTATAATTCGGGCGTTAACCCTTATTATATCCTTAACCTATATACTCCGCTTATACTAGTACGTGGTTACCTTAGGGTTATTAGTTCAAGATCTAGACGTTAAGGGCTAGTTAATACTATAACCTGGATTAGGAGTAGCTAGTTTCTATGTCTTAGTCTACGTATTCCTTACTCCTTCTTATTACTCCGGATTATCTATATTAAGATTTAGTATATATAGCTCTAGCGTATTAATAGCAGCGTCTCCTTCGGGTGCCGTAGTCTATATAGAAAAGGGTTTAATTAAGAGTTCCTCCTACTATAGCTACGGCCCGGCGTCTTAGTCCTAGTTATTCCGGCTTAGCGGATTAGGTATAGCGCGTAGGGTTTAGAGTCCTATTAGCGCGGGCGGTTCGGGTAGCCTGTTATAGCCGTTAATAGTTACGTCGGTATTTAGTGGTTCCGGCGCCTCTAGAATAGTACTAGCTACTCTTACCCCCGAGTCTAAACCTATAGACTCTGCTTAATCTTTAGAAGGTGCGCTGCTAGATAGGTTAGCGGGCGGTTCTGCTTATAGGATAAATTCGGTATCCTTATCTTTATAGTCTTTATAGGTTATAAGCTAGTTCCTCGCCTCCGCCTCCGTAATTGACTCTACTTCTTTAAGCTTCGAGTTATAAAATAATCGCTTATTAAACTACACGTTACGCGTCGTTATAACCTTCTAAAGCTACGGGATCTATATTCTATAGATATTATAGGCAACGTATCCTATAAGATACCTAATATAGCCCCTTAGTTAAATCTTATATATCTTTCTCTCTCTTTTAGCCTCCCTATTCCTATCTAAGGGATAGGCGCGGTAACCGTAAGCATAAATACTACTCTAATCTAACCGTAGGTCGGCGGAATACTCTCTTATCTTAAGCGGCGCGTGCTTTTTAAACTATAAATCTAGTACCTCGATAAGAGACTTCTAACCTAAGCGCTATAATAGACTTATATTATAAAGTTACGCCGCTACTCTTATACTCTCCGGCTATATAAAACCTAGAAGATCTACGCTGTTTAGTATAGCGTTAGACTTTATAACGATAGCTTATCCTGCCCTCTTAATAGCGCTATTCGGTTCGTAGATATATAGAGGCGCGATCTCTATATCGATGCCCTTTATGCTCGCCTATAGCTAGGTCCGCGAATCCCCTATTATATACACGATTAAAGGCTTATTATTACTATATATCTTATAGACGTATAAATTAAACTAACGTGTAACCTATCTTTTAAACGCTTTCAGGGCGTTATAGACCGTAACGCCGTTTTTCGACGCTAAAGGCAGTATATAAATCTAACCGCTATACTCCTCCTTAATAATAAGGAGATAACGTATACCGTTATAACTCTCCGGTAATTCCTATAGGTCCTAATACATACGCTAGAACGGCCTAGGCGAGCGGTAATCTAATAGTCGATAAAACACGACCTAATAAACCTATATTCGAGTATAAGTCTTACACTTAATCTGCTTAGTACCTTATATTAGCACGTTCCGGGCGTTACAAACTAGTGCTCGGAGAGCTTCTAGTCTTAGGTAGCCGGGCCTTAGGTACTATAGCCTCTCTTCGTTAATATATAGATAAGGGGAATCTTAAGATAGTTAAAATAGCTTCGGAAGCGGCGCTCTTATCGGTCGATCGATAGCTACTACTAGTATATAGATATAATCGTAGCTTATAGGAATCACGCCTTATAGTATTAGTTAAATATACGGGTAAGAAGAAGAAAAGGATAAAATTAGCTTATACTAAAGAATAGTTATATTAAAGCGTTATAATAGCTTTAATAAAACCACGCTCTTATCCGCTATTCCATATCGTAGTAAGCAGTTATATCCCGAATACTAAATCCTAACCTTATATAATAGAGCTTCC